CATATTAGTAAGCATTTGTCCACCGTTGCTGCAATTCTGTTCCATAACTCACCCTGTCCACCGTGTAAACTACAAAACAATGTTTTTTAATTAAAATGGCCAAATTAAATTAAATTATTCCTTAAATCTATTTACTTAAATCTATTTAACTAAATAATTTATTATAATCAGTTTTTATGAAAAAATATCATATTTCATAAAAACTGATTATAATAAATTATTTAGTTTAAAGAAGGATATGAATAATTTTGATTGAAAATCTTTTCTTATTAATTTATTTTCAGTATTTTTATATTATATTTGCGAAACATACTGAGATCAAGTCTTATTGAGTACAAATTTATTTAAGAAATCTCAACAAATTTATGTGCTATAACTATTTTCAACAGAAACTACTTGTTTCGAGCCAATGTCAGTTCTGATTAAGTTATTGGAATAGATAAGTGTGTATTATAGTATACTTATTTTTGTTGATTAATTGTAATAAATATTTAAATTAAAGGCTGCGTCACTCATCACAGGTAACTGAATGATGCCGTTATCTGTGACGAGTAACGTAACCTTTAACTTAAACATTTGCTAAGATTAATCAACAATTCTGTGCAATCGTGAAACTGTCGCTAAATAAGTTTTTTATTTTTTTAATTTGTGCAATCATAAAAAAATTTGTTGAAGTATTGGTATTTTTTTAACGGATTTGAAACTTATATCCATAACAAATAACAAATATTTAACCTTTTATTTTTTGACAAAAAAGGTAAAAACATGAATGCTAAGTTTCAAATTTTAATTTTTTGTTTTGAAATGAAAATATGGGTTAATTCAAAATTTTAATTCTCTTGAGATGAAATTTATAAATTAATCGACAATCCTTTTAAACTTCAATTTGTTTTAGTATTAAAATGCATTATTTGATTGAAAATTCATTGAAACTTCAATTATTTTGAAGATAACAAAAGAAAAAAACGGATCGGTTTTTCTATTAAATCTGTCTCTTTGCTTATTTGGAAAAAAACAAACAAGAAAATAACTGCAAAAAAAAATTGCCAACAAGCTGGATGAAGAGCCACATTTTGGAAAATCGACAATAATTGTGTTCGGTTTCAGGATTCCTAAACCGGAACATTGAATTACTGCTGAAGCGGTCTCATTCAGTTCACTTAAATTCTGATACGACACAACCAAATGATGCGCATTAAGGCACGATTCACCGATCTGAACCGAAAAAAGGAAAATATACAATGAAGAGATATAAGTGATTCGATTTCAAAGGTAACTTTTTCAAAAGTTTCTTAGCATCTCACAAACTTTCGATCGAAGCTGTAAAGAAAGAATTTCCAGAATTTCCATGAAAAAAACTTTATAGCATTATATGTTATGTTGGAGATGAAAGAAAAATTTGTTTAACATTTGCAAACAATTTTTACTTTACTCTTTTTAAAATGAAAAATTACAAACGTTTTGCATTTGAGCAAAAAAAAAGCGAAATTTTTGTTGAGTTTTTTTACAAGAAGAAGAAAAAAATATCATCCGAACCAATTGTGTGACCGCAGTTTCCACTAAGCCCAAATATTCACCGGTATCCGGGTCATTTGTATGACCCTGAAAAATGGAACCAATTCTTGCATATATTTCTGGAAAAAAACTTATCCATATCCGTACATATTCCTGCTAATAAAATGTTGTTATTTAATCCTGAAACTCTCATGATTACTGCAAACAATGATCCGATTATTTGCATTTTTGGTATTCTCTATTATAAAAGTATTACAAAGAGATGAAAATTTTTGTTCATCTATTTATTATTTTTCTTGCTAACTCTTTCTATTACTTTTTGATACTTAAAGTCAAAAATTATTAAATCGCAAAACATTAATAAGAAATTATTAAAATGATATATTTGCAAACACTAAAATGATCAATTATTTAATAAATTAGCAAATACTTCACATAATACCGCAACAATATTCGATGCGGCACCATCTTTAATCCATTCCGCTACAGCAATTAACTTTTGACAATTAACAAGCCATTCGGGATTTTCATCAATTTGCATTATTAAAATTTGTGGATACCAATGATGTTCGAAATCTTTATGACTGTAAACGCAACGTAACAAACGATATGCTATATCGACACGCCAACGTTCGAAATATTCCAACCACCACCACATCTTTTTATTTGTGCATAAAACAATGAATAAATATTTCAAGTCTATAGTACATATATATGAATTACTTTTAATTTTGAATCTTTTTTTTT